TTTCCGATACACATTCAAAATAATGGTACTTAGAAATTAAAAATTTGTCTATTGTACGACGTTGTTTCGATGTTTTATTACGGCTTAAACATTCTAACGCGTTAGTATTTTTAATATAAAATTGTGAAAACCACATTTGATAGTCATAAATCATACTTTTATCAACTAGAAACACTGAAAATTTTTCTGGGTTTCTTGATGATTTTAAAATAATTTCTATATAGTCTTCTAAAGTGTATAGACGATCGACTCTGTTAAGTTGTTTTTTTATCAATGCAAAGTCACGATCACACGGCAAAAACGAGTGTCCTCTTTGTGGAAAAAAAACCTGAACTTTTTTGAATTTTTTAATTTCAACTAGAGCCATAATCATTCTAAGTAATGCGTGGTTTTTGTTTTGCCCAGCACAATTGTCACAAAACAAATGCAATTCCTCAACATCATTATCAACAAAACTATTAATATAGTGAACCAAAAAAGAGCATACATCATTTGGCGTTTTTCTTGCTGTTGCCTCATGATAAACATAACAAAATAAATTATTCGTGTTTAAATTATGAATACCAAAAGTATTGACAGATAATTGACGATAATAATATACTTCCTGCACCGGTATTTTAGGTAAGTCAACTACAGCCATAAAATCAAAGCAAAGACCTAACACTTTTTTATTCTGTTGAGAAATCTCTATTGTTTTTTTAATATTATTATAAAATTGTTTGCTTCTATGTTTATGAACTAATAATTCCGCAGCAGCAACTCTTTTTGCAACATCATTTAAATCTTTACTCATTATTTTTGTATTTAATTCTTCGCATTTTGAACAAGCATCTTTGACTGGAGCACCAAAGCTTAATGAAAAATTATTCTTAAAATACTCCCAATAATATTGATATTTTATTTTCGCTTCTAACTCTGGATACTTTTTTATGAACATTGTGTGCATAGTTTTAACATTTAATTTAGGGTCTAAATATTTTTTCAATCGTGTTGTGTAATGAGTATCTTTAGTTGGAAAACTTAGTATATGTTCATGTATTTTTTGACAATACTCATATGGCATAGTATTAGCACTAATATTTTTGCCTCTCATATCAACTGGGGTAATATTATTTTCTAACAAATCGACCAGCCGTCTAATTTTTTTATTAGAAATATTATAAACGTTAATGAAAGCTTTCTTACATACTTGAATACGCTGTCCATCTACTATTAAAAAATACTGAACACTTTTGGATTTCGGTTTTTCTTTTCCTTCTTCTGTTTCTATTCGTTTTCGTTTTCTTGTAATTTCTTTTATTTCTATTGTTCGTTGAAGATGAAGGTCTTGTTCATTTTTAGAATGCAACTCATAAAACATTTTCATTATATCTTCAAGTTTTTTTTGTTGAATGTCTTTGAGACATTTTTTTGAACAACTTTAAATCGAAAATATTAATGTAAAAATATAAAAGCTACTACTTATTAATAGCGAACAAAACCAACTAGATATTATATAATTACCATTCTTTAAGTATTAATGAAGGATCATTCTTTGCAGCAACTATTTTTCCAATCCAGTTTGTATGTTTTTTTCCTTCGATTTTTGCTTGCTTAATAATATTTCTTTTATATTTATCACTGTTAGAAACACCTTTTTTTCTTTTGAGAGGACTAATACACTCGTCGTCTGAACTCATTTTTAAAGTTATACACGTAATGATCGTTTGTACACGACTACGACGTTTCAACCAGTACAATATATTTTATTCACTGATAATCATTTTATTTTATAAGTAGGTATAGCAACGTTTTCACCATTATAATCTTTATTTACTGATAAACAATTGTAAAAAATTAAATTTATAAATAGAACAATATTACATGTCATACAATTAAGTGATTTCACGAGGTTTAGTTCTGAAAATATTACTAAAGTATAATTTTGATGCAAAAAGGTTACATGTCCAGGACATGTGCCTTTTCTGCAATTAACGAAATTTTAAATTATTTTTAACGGGGATCAATTTAATAGGACATGTGTCTTGTCTGCACAAAACCATGTATTTATCAATATTAAATTCGATTATGCAATAAAGTGATTTTTGTAAAATATTGGACATGTGTCCTTTCTGCATTTAGCGATTCATTTATTTTAGTTTTTGTCGCAGTTATTATTTTAAATCATTATATTTTTTACGTTCAAAGATAATGCTATTTTGTTTTATATGATTATATAAAAGTACAATTCATTAAGTGATTTTTTATCTACACAAAATATTATGTACCTATAAACCGTCCCAACATCGAAATCGATTTCTAATATTTTGATTTTTCAGTCGGTGTGATTGGCTATATTTTTTACAATGTTATGTCTTAAGAATTCGAGTACACTGAATAAATAAACTAACCACATATTGGTGATGTCCGGAATGATATGACCCGTCGATAAAAAACCCACGAGTGGTACGCGAAAAACCGTTTGGGAATCTCTGCTATATGCTATTGTACCACTGCTGGTACACAGAAAGCTACAGGTACGCGGAAGGCCAAAAGTCCAAAATGTACCTAAATGATTATATTTTTTTAAACTTCATTTTTAAAGTAACTATAAGTAATTAAAGATAAGTAATTATAACTATGCTATTAGTGGTACACGACTGGTCCACATGATATTAATGTACGCTCGACAGTGGTACGTCGAAAGCAAAACTGTCTGACAATAATCTCCGTCTTTCGTTCCACGATAACATGATTATCCGCTCCTTTTGAATTCGGGCAGCATTTTTTTAAATAATCCTTGGTCTACACCGCTGCAGCAGTGCCTCGTGTCGGATACAACACTCATTGTTTGGGTCGAAAACGTCGCCGAACACGAATTCGTAGAAACAGATATTATGCGTTTTACAAACGCGTCCATTTTTCTCGAAAAGTGTACGGCGGAAGCCATGATGGCCCGCCCTGTACAATGTTATTGTCGTGGTTCACTGCAGTCGCTACCTATAACTTTATTATTATTATTATTGTTATGGAATAATATCTTTCCGAAGGTATAAATACTTATATCATCGGTCGGCGGCGGCGGCGAGACGTCCGCCCAGCAGTTTCGCGGTGGCTTGATATACGAGTTGTGCGGGCGCCAATATATTTTATTTACACACACGCGCGTACACCTAAGTTCAAGGATTCCCGGAAATCCGTATCGGGGGGGGG